CACACACACACACACACACACACACACACACACACACGTGTGTATGTTGTGTCAGAGTAAAGGACACGGATCAGAAAGGAGACCACATGGCGCTTTCTGCCTTCCAGTCCTGCCTTACTGTCCCTCCTTAACGTACGCCCTCGGGCTCTCTATTTGAAATGCATGCCACGTGGCAACCGTCGGTCCCCACAATCGCGTGTCCACGTCATGACATTTCCGATGGCGTACCACGTAGTTCCCTCGCAATGCTGACGTGGAGACATGCCACGTGGAGCAGGAGACGTGAGCGGTGAGGAGGGAGGGGGGGGGACAATCACCAAGGAGTGGGTTTTATCTTCTTCAAAAGAAATCTGAAAAGGACAGAGAGTGCGTGCGGAGTAGCGGTGATGGCGGCAGGGGGAGGACGGGGTGTGGTGGAGAGGGAAAGAGCAGGTGTTTTCGAGTACCCGAGGGGTCAAACGAAAACTGGGCTATATGTGCTGGGTCTGCAACCCAGGGTATGATTTATATATTCATCTACGGGAAAAAAAAAGAAATAAAAAATTTATAAAATGCTACAAGAGTTGCAGACCACCAGGGGCGAGATCTCGCTCGCAAAAAGGATTAGATTTATCTCCTGAATCAGGACGTGTTCGTGGAAAGGTGCAGAAGATCACGATTGATCTGCTTTTCTGCATCTCTATTAAGGCGCTTAATCCAGCCTTCTTTGATAATCTGAGTTCATCTCCTGGGGTGCGTTCATCATTTTACTTATTTATTTATTTTATTTATTTATTTATTTATTTTCCCTTTGAAAGGGTGAGAGCCTTGTGATGTTATCAGCGAACTGACCAGCCCCAGGGAATTCAGAATTTGGTTCTGTTCATCTACCGTCTTCACCCGAATAGAACGCCCGGTCATTATCGCTGCACCTGGACTGAAAAGTGCCCCAAATACAGGTATAATGACAGGGCGTTATATTCGGGTGAAGACGGTAGGGATCCGAAATCAGACCTATATTTCAAGAGTTCACGAGTGCACCAACCAAACTAGGACCGTTGTCTTTTTTTTTTCTTTTTTTTTTTAATTTATGTTAGTTCATCATCTAATTTGAAGCCATTTGGAGTTTCAGTCCTTCAAGATCTCATTAGAGTCAAATTCACATAATGTCGCTTTAACTCTTCGTGAATTATCCCGTATGACATTTTCCTATTTCAGTCATTTCCTTATCTGGCTTTATCTTCCAACTTACTGTAGTGTACTTGGTTTCCTATCTTGTCCTCACGGGTGACGTCTCTTTTTTTTTTTTTTTTTTTTTTTTTTCAAATCCTTGCGCAGGGGCGACGCTGTATCGTTCCAATTTTAATGGATGTCCCAAAAACAGGACATGATCTTACCTGAATTTTGTTAACTATCCCAAGTGATCTTTAGCCGAAGCCGGGTATTGGCCCCGGGGCTAGGTCCCACTTGCACGAATTAAGAGATACCGACCGTAGATAGCAAAGATCAACGACCGAAATATCCTAATTTGCGCAAGTGAGACCTTGCCCCCGGTATTTCAATTGTCTCGTAGTACTTGTACAACTCCTCACGGGACGGCAGGCCCAGTTCCCGCCACATGCTGCCCCCCACGAATAGAATAGAGCGGGAAGCTGCAATCAGGGGAGCGAGTGAAAACAAGAGCCGAATGGAGGGAGGGAGAATGGGCGGACGAGGAGGGGAAGGCAGAGGAGGACAAAGAGGAGCAGGAGAAGGAGGAGGAGGCGGCAGAGGAGAAGGAGGAAGAGGAGCAAGAAAAGGAGGAGGAGGAGGAGGAGGAGGGGAGAAGGAGGAGGAAGAAGAGGCGGCAGAAGAGGAGGAGGAGGAGGAAGAGGAAGAGGAAGAGGAGGACAGGATAGGAGGAGGAGGACAACTGGGAAGGAGGGTAGAGTGGGGCCAGAAAAACGGAGGATAAGCGATAGAAAGGCAGATATAGGAGTATGTGAGAGAAGGTAAATGGCCGGATACAAGCGCACACGCGCAATGGGGGGCCAGAGAAATGAAGCAGTTGAAGAGCGAGGGTGGCACGAATTTGGAGAGTCAAATGGGCACACACCGTGGAGGCAGAGGCTATAATGGATATTCAAAAACCCAGAAATATAAAAGATTAAAAAAATAATAATAATAATAAAGAAAAAGAAAACGCGAAAAGAAGGAAGGGGGGCAGCAAAAGACCTTGTCTTCGTCGTTCACCAGGCAAATGCCCACATTGGCCCTATAGCCCTGTGGAAGTGGATCGACGGCCCCCCCGCTTTGCCCTCTAGCATCCGACGATGAGCCGTCCATCCCATTGGGCCCTAAGGCCGCCATCTGGCGATCTTGGTCAGCGCTAGACCCGCCTAATGCTCCCTTGCCCCAGCTGCGCACGAACGGCGGAGTCAGGGATCGATCCCGCGACCTTCCGCGACAATGCCGTCGGCAGACCGCCAGTCCCAACCCTGGAAATACCGACCCGCCTGTCTCAAGAACCTCGCTTGAACCAAGGCAAGACCCACAACCTAGACTACTAAGACCAAAACATCGACCAGGACCGGAACCAGGACGGGAAACAGGACCAGTTGCACTCGACCGACTGGATCGGGAGTGACCGAACGCACATTCCAGAACGGAGATGATCGAACGTCCAGTAGAGCAGCAGCGGAGGACACGTGGGTGGCAGCCGACCGGTCGTCCGATCTTGCCCCTCTGCTGCTCGGATGAGGACTGCTCAACTACTCCTCCCCCTCCTTTTCCTACACCCCCTCCCGACACTACTTCCCCTCTCCGTTGCCTCTTCCACAATAGCGTCTTCTTCGATTGCTCGTTTCTGAAGCTGGCGAGACAGATCGACGGCGCTGGCGCTTCCACGTACGCTATTGAAAATGACGCTCGCAAGGAACGGGGTACACGTAAGCTCTGCCGCATCATCGACAGCTTCGACAGCTCCTCACAACCCCACGAGGCGGGGGGAGCGGCGGCCATCTAATGAAAGAGTTCGAACCCTGCTTCGAACCCTGCTGGTGCCAGCCACCCCAGCCACCCCAGCCCCCGGTCCGCGTGAGGAGGAATATTAGACGCAGCAAACCGCGTGAGGAGGAATATTTAGACGCAGCAAGCCGTCCGCTGAAACTATCGAGCACGACCAGCTGCCGTCTAATCAGGGTTCCAACCCGAGTTGGGGGTCTGCCCAGTCCCGCAATCCGTCCCGCAATCCGGCGATCCGGTAAGCGTACGCTGCCAACGAGCCACCGGTAAACGACTCCCACAAGTCGGTCTAAAAGGAAGGAGGACAAGCTTTTGGCCCGTCATCCATCCCATTCGCTTCTTTGTCCGTCTCCACCCAGCGCTTTCTTCTTTATTTCTCCTTTGACCTGTGCTGAGGATGCTTGGAAGACCTTTTAGGATGAATGTGAATCAGAGACATCCACGACAGCCCGAATCTGCCTTGATTGAGGACATACCCAGTGTCTCCAGGTCGTACAAAAAAAGGACAAAAAAAGGGATTCGTAACTTCCTCTCAAAAAAACAGAGTTCAGCTCACTTGGTAAGGCACGTAAGTGGCATTAAAGACGTCGTGGGTTCAAGCCCCGAGACTGCTTGCTGCAAACCATTTGAGCTAGTTGGCTTGAGGGGCGGACGGGGTGGCGGTGGATCTGCTGCCTATAGGCTAGAACTTAGTAAACCTGGAGGGGCTGTAGGGGCCTGTGGAAGAAAGCTTACGCCTACATTCTTCCCCCGAACATAATACAAATGCGTTATGGGTTTTTCGAATAGAACACATACACATTGTATTCGAATAGAACCGCTGAGCATTGTATTCGTTTACAACGCATATGTGCCGTTTTGTGTATGATAGGCCTATTTGTGTTAGAAACCCAACAGGAAAGCCCCGATTCAATTTGAACTTGGACCCTCCATCGTCCAACAGCTAAGCTCAATCGTATGTGACGCTCAACCTCACGCCCTGTGCTGCTTTCCGGTTGGAGTATTTTGGGTTCACAGAAAGGCCCGGGAAGAACAACAACGATAGGGTGTGCCAAGGGTTTTGGGGGGAATTGAGTGTGGGGACACAGACGGAACTGAAATCCCCCGTCTTGGTTCGACTTTAGTAAGGGAAAGGTCCGTCGCCGTGAGATATAAGGAAAAGAGTGCGTACGGGTTCTCATGACGATGAGGAATTCAATCCAAGTATCGTTGTACTTCCCAGCGAGCCGCTGCCCTTCGTTTCGAATGAAAGGGGGAGGGCACATGCGTGGTATCCCGTTTTCAGAAGAGATCTCGCCGGCGCTCACTACGCAACTTTGAGTCCGACGTGAAGGGCCTCAATCGAGTGGCTCTCTCCCTATGTTCGTCCTCGCCACGTGTGCGGTAAGCCTTTGGCTTGGTAACGCTCGGTACGACGACAGTGGCTACACAGAGTGTTAGGCCAATAAGGTGCCACTGCCACCCATGGGATGACGATCAACAACAACGAATAAGGCGGAAAATGAGTATCGATAATTACGAATCCTGCACCAACGAATCTGGAGCACCGGGTCTAAGGTGGAAAGTAACAACGCCCACCGATCTTGGCGACGACTTTTCGTCACGGTACATCCCACTCCCTTACACGTGTCCTTTCCTCGTTGTACGGGAAGGGGCGCGGCGAAGGTACGGGAAGTCGGTGCCCCATCGGATTGGGGCGATCGGTCCACATGGCAAAGGGCCAAGCACCGGATTCTCCCTAATCATGCATCTTTCATTCGATCAATCGAATCCCGCATTTCATCAGATCTATCAATATGCTCATACAAGTCTTCAGGGAGGCGAGACATGAATCGAAAGAGAGAAGCAGGCAGAAGGTAATTACACACGAAAATTTTTGATGCCCTTGTCGAAAGATTCCGGCTCAAATGCCAAGTGAACGGAGCTCACGCTCGACGACTTATACTTTGAGACAAAAAAAAGAGGCGCATCCACGTACTACTCCCATCATAGCGATTGTCATCCCGCCGACTTAGTCTCTGCTCGGTCTTGCCGGGATCCCACAGTTCGTTGGGCAATCCAGCGCACAACCGTCAAGACTACAGTCAGCTCGTCAAGACTTTTCGACTCGCACCTTCACACGTACCACCTAGCCACTACTTCTTGGAAGTTGGTTGATGAGTTGAGAGAGAGATTTTCGGGAGCGCTTGCGAAATTTATAGTTGCGGAAAAGGAGGTAGATGATAGGAAGAATTAGGATTGAGGGGGGAAGGGGTAGGGGAAGGTTTAGGGATAATCGCACGACGAAAGCTATGTCGATCCTTCGGATCCTGGTTGTAGCCAATCAGAATCCTCGTGTATCAAGAATTTCCTTCTAATACGGTGCGTCTCCTTGGCTAGAGGGGAGGGGGGGGGAGTCGACAGAGCATTCCGGCGCAAGGATGATTAGAGCGGGAAGAAGAAGAGCACGAAAAATAGCACGACACAGAACCAAGATCCAAACGATCAAGAAAAAGAAAAGGCGCGCGAGGCAAAGCAGAGATGGACAAACAGTTACTGAGAGAAAGAGAGAGAGAGAGAAAAAAAAAAAAAAAAAAAAGAGTGTCGAAGGTAGCGAGGGAACCGGAGAGAGGAGAGCTCGCATGCATGGCATTGATACGAAAGCAAAGGGCACCGAAACAGTTACAACTCATTCAGAATCCTACGCTAATTTAAAATTGAAGTTCACCAGTCTCGCACGTAGAGTGAACGTGGAAAAAAATCCTAGGTCTATTCAGATTCACACGAGAATTCTCATACGAAGCCGAGAATATTCATGAACAAGAAGGACACGTCGGGTCCCACTTATTCCAGAATTCCTAACCGTCGAGCCAAATCCCTAGCGCACTCGCTAAGGCGCGCATAATTCCCATGTATTTCTCGAACTGTGAAAATATGAAATTCCAAAAACTGATCAAAATGACAAGGGTCAGACCTCGAGTGATGTGCATCGAACACAGAAAGGGGCCTCTTCGCTCTAGTTGCAAAAGATCACAAAAAAAAGGGGGGGGAACATGGAGGATGGCACATGTCCGAAAGTTGGCGCGTCACATATGTGATGCTCAAGGGGTTCCAAAATTATGCGATCTCCTGATTGCATGTATGAGAATTAGTTTACAAGAGGGGGGGGAGAAGAAGGGAGAGGGGGGGGGATGAATGAGGAACCGAGCGTATCAGGATAAACAAAATCTTGTATCAACACTAGATCGGGCCAGAGTCCATGTTGACACCAACTTCAATTGCAATGTCTTCGCGAATCTGTCGGCTCCTTCTTTCAGCATCTCTACCATCCAGCCATGTCATGTGCAACTCCCTGCCTCTTTGATTGGCGGAGGTCGTCGAAGTGACACCGTCATGGTCCGCCGATCTTACCTGCTTCTGCTCAATCACTGAAAATCCGCTCGGCGGTAACTGACGAGGAGAGGGTTATGGAGTGGTCTAGGCCATTCAGCTGGGAGCGAAGGGAAGTAGTCGGATGCTTCGTCACCGAGATCGACAAAGTGGACGATTTGGTGGGCTCGAGGGAATTGATGGTTGGGTCGGGAGAGGGAGAGGAGGTAGTCGGGATAAAGGGAAGTATAGTGCGGAGGATATTATCGTGTAGGGATTCATAATCCTCCACCGCGGGAAAGGTCCCGGAGATGATGCAATACAACTCTATACGGTTGTATTGCCTCCAGGCGACACTGAAAAGAAGGATGTTGAGAGGGAAGGACGGGGAACAATGAGGGAAGACTTTGCATAAGAGTCGCACGACAAAGTGGTGGCAGAAGAGCTGGTTGGCGAAAAATATGTCGTAGTTTAGAGGGAACTCGATGTGGGGAAGAGGAGAGAAGGAGAGATAATCAAGAGGGCGGTGGTAGATCGGACGAGGACGGAGCGCTCGTGCGGGGAGGAGGACGGGGACAAAGCGCAGAGGGGGTGGAGGAGGGACTCGGAGATGGTGAGCGAGAGCGGTGGCGTCGACGGGAGGATTCTGCGCCATCGTATCGACTGGCGGCGTCGGCAGGGACTTTGGGGTTCAGAGAATATCCTCCCCGTGCAAAGGTGGCACTCGGGCCGGCGGAGCCTCCCGGGCTCGGGTGCTGATGCCTCTTCTTCTTCTTTTGATGTCGATCTCGCTTCTGACTCTTCTTCTGCTGACAGACCCGCAATGGATATGCAACCTGGATCGTCGTCCGATGACACCTCGCCGTGCGCTTGATGAGCGTTTCAAAACTCGTCTATATCGGAATTGTCCGGTGCAAGATCGTCCAGGTCCAGAAAACACCAAACTGTGGGACCGTGATCGCTCAGGTATTGACATAAGTCTTCTGTGTAGTTCGTCCAAATTACTGTTGGCGTCAACATCCTCTCCAAAGTGACAGGCTCGGCTTGGCTAGGATCGCTTGGATTGAAGGAGATGATGTTCGTCAGCAGATCGTCGACGAGCTGGGACAGGAAGGTGATGAGCTCTTAGGCGACAGTCGCTCTACCTCCTTCAGCAATCTCTCCACAAAGAAGTCCAAATAATGTGTCACAGGTCTCCATCTCCGTCCGCCACGTCTGTGCTAGTACTAGCGAGATCTCGTTACAAATCTCTAACTCCCGATTGTTGTAGTACCGAGCCCAGTGACACCTCACCGTTAGCATGCACACGCTGATCGACGCGAATTCAGTCCACTTGCAGATGTAAGAGGGATGGAACGGAGGGATCGTAGCGGGGCAAATCTCCAAGGTTAGAAGGGGATCGGCCCACGATGGCCAGAGCGTTGGAAGATCAGAAGGGAGGGAGAAGGTCGAGAAGCTATTCATCTGCGCAAAGGGTAAGGATGAAGAGGGGGAAGGGGATGAGCTAGGGGATCAGTGCTACTAAATCAGAGAGAAAAGGTATCGGGCACTCGGTCCCCACTACTTGTCGGCCTGGTCGGTCGCTGCCGCCAATCCGCCACCAGCACCTGCGCCCACTCGTAGAGGTTGGTGATCACCGTGTTACGTTGTTGTGAGCTGATAGTGCACAGATCACCATTGAAGGCGAGGATCACCGTTACGTCGCTCAAATTATACCGGGAGAATCGTTAGAACGTCGAAGCTTCCACCAAGATGACCGTTGATCCCCGCTCCGTTGAAATCGTTACTTCTACGGCTGCGTACCAGGCTCGGTGGTTGAACAGTTGCGCAAACCGGAGGAGATCAGGAGTGAGACG